TAAAGAAACATAACTTTAAAAAAAAGTATTATAACAAAAAAAGAAAGTAAGGGGCATGAGTGACTGCTCAGATCCCAGAAAGTGACAAGCAAACATTACATGCTTCAGATGTGCCAGAAGAAAACCCAAGTCTGGTCCAGACGGGATCCAGCTGCAAATCTGCAGAAAATATGGAGGATAGAGGAAAATGGTCAACTGCACCATAAACTCACACCATGAGTGTGCAGTCTGCCAAATTCAGGCCATGAGGTCAAATGGTCCAGATTCTTGAAATGAGTTCCCTGTAGCTGCTGTAACAAATGACTGCAAACTAGATGGCTCTCACAGTTTGGAAGTCAAAAGTCCGAAATTGAGATGTCAGCAGGGCTGGTTTCTTCTGGAGGCTCTCAGGGAAAATCCATTCTATTTTTCTCCTAGTTTCTGGTGGCTGCAAGCAACACTTGGTGCTCCTTGGTTTGTAGACACACGACTTTAGTCTCTGCCTCTGCTTTCACAGGATCTCCTCTCTGCTTCTCCTCTCCTCTTCTCTTATAAAATAACTGACATTGGATTTAGGGCCTGCTCTAATCCAGAATAATTTTACATTGAGATCCTTACCTTAATTATTCTGCAAAGACCCCTTTCCTAAACAAAGTCAAATTCAGTTTCCAGTAGACATATATTTGGGGAGTGGCCACCATTCAACTCACTACATTCTTCATGATAAATTCAAAGGTAAGTAAAAAGGATGGATGAGGAACTCTAGATTAAGAAACTTAAAAGAAGTATCAACATTTTTTAAATGGGCAAGTTCTTGAAGATGTATATCTGGGTGATGAAACTAAAAAAAAAAAAAAACACACACACACACACACACACACACACAACAAAACCCCAGAAAAGTGAAGACTAGAAATATCAGGCTGATGGTTATTTGTGGTGGGAAGGAGGGGTTGTGGTGACAATGGGGGCATACAAAAGGGGTGCAGAGCAAGTTTTATTTCTTGACCAGGGTAGTTACAAGGGTGTTCACCTTATAATAATTCATTCATCCATACATTTGTTTTGTTTGGTTTTCTGGGTCTTTGATTTTTTTTACAATTAAGATGTTTCAAGAAGGCAAAAACAAAAAAGGGCCCGGCTGGATGGCTCAGTTGATTGATTAGAGCATCATCTCAATACACCAAGGTTGTGAGTTTGATCCCTGGTCAGGACATGTAAAAGAATCAGCCAATGAATACATAAATAAGTGGAATGAAAAATCAATGTTTCTCTCTCTCCCCCCCCTTCCTCTCTCTCTAAAAATCAGTAAATGAAATTAAGAAAAAAAAAAAGAATCAGCCCAGGGGTGGCTTAGTTGGTTGGAGCATCATCCCATACACCAAAAGATTGGGGGTTCAATTCCCAGTCAGGGAACATACCTAGGTTGTAGGTTCAATCCCCTCTTGGGGCACATGTGGGAGGCAATCAATCAATGTTTCTTTCTCACATCTCTCTCCAAAATCAATAAACATATATTTTTATGTATTTTTTAAAAATTCAACCAATGTGCATAAATAGGTGGAACAACAAATTAATGTTTCTTTCTCCCTCTAATAAAGATTTAAATAAAAAAAAAAGGCAAGGAAATACACACCTTTGAGATAACCTGTCTTTTCCATCCAGTATATTTTATCTTTTTATTGGATATAGATAATCCAGAATGATTTTTATCTAGATATTCTTAATTATACTTGCAAAGACCCTTTTTCCAAATAAGGTCATAATCACAGGTTCTGGAGATTAACATTTAGACGTATTCGGGAGGGGCGCCATTCAGCCAACTACACAGACCAATTCTGGGACAAGTAGCTGCCCAGGGTCACTGTCAGAGCAAGGGAAAGGGCAGTAGTGACTTGTAAGAGCACTCTGGCTCTAGTACTGAAGGTCAAGAGGGCTCAGACTTAGGAACCACCCAGAAGCTGGCCGCTAACAGAAGAGAAGGTTAGAGTGGGATGAGTAGCAGAGCTGAATGTATTTCATTACCCTAAACTTGTGAGTCAGGATTCTATAATCCCTACTAACCAGGACAGGACTGTGGCTCCCACTCTCAGACAAAGTTGCCACAGCAAGTGGATATCCAGGGCAGTAGGAAGATTAGGCACTAGGAATCAGATTGGACTACAAAGAGAAGTGAGCAACCATACAAATAAGTAGAATCATAAATAGCTGCCACTTATTTAACATCTGTTTTATGCCTGGCACTTTGCATTTATTATTGCTTTTTTTCCTCATAACCTTTCAAGACAGGGTTTGCAATATTGGTTCCCATTTAACATGAAAAAAACACAAGATTTTATAACTTTTAAAAAAGACTTTATTTATTTTTTTAGAGAGAGGGGAAGGGATAAGGGAGAGAAACTTCAATCACTTGCCTCTCGTACATGTCCCAACTGTAACCAGGTACTGAACCTGTATCCCAGGAATGTGCCCTCACCAGGTATCAAACTGGCAACCTTTCGCTTTATGGGATGACACCCAATCAACTGAGCCATACCAGTCAGGGCTTTTTATTTTTTTTAGAGGGACAAAGGAAGGGAGACTGGAGAGGGGGGTGGTGACGGGGGCGGGGGTCGTAGAGAGAGAGAGAAAGAGAATGAGAATTTGCTGTTTCACTTATCTATGCATTCATTGGTTGACTCTTGTATGTGCCCTGACTGGGGATCGAACTTGCAACCTTGTTGTATTGGGACAACACTCCAATCAACTGAGCTACCTGGCCAGGGCCAGAAAAAAACAGAATTTTAAACATTAAAGTTATGTAGCTAGTAAATGGCACAGCCAGAATTTAAACCCAGATCACTCTGGCTCCAAAGCCATCTTTCTACTAAAACATGCTACCTCTCTGTATATTAATAGCCTACCTCAAATATTAGCATCTTGTCTTCTAACACCTCTTCTCTCTTTGAACCCTTCCCTCCACCTTTTCATCCAGGGATTTACTAGACATAAAAGGTCAAAACATGTTTCTCTGCCAAATACCCTACATTAAAGAATATAGCTTGAATAGGGTAGAATGGTAACTATTTCAAACCTTTCTAAACCAGAATCATAGGTGTGGATATGGAATGTGAACACTTGTTCCCCTGTGGGTGTGTGACTTGTTGAAGCTCCAACAGGGATCTTATACACAGTCCCAAGTCCTACATTTGTCCCTAATCTGAAGATGTAGGTCTATAATGTAGACTGTACATTGTACCGCCTTCCCCACAACCACACACACACATAACCCTCACCATCACTACCAAAAGCACGTTGCTAGTGATATTTTGTAGGTGGTAATACCAAAGTAATTACAGTACTAGTTTTCTCCAAAGTGACCTATAGTGGAAAACAACATTGATGGAACAATATTAAGGAAATTGATAATACATTAGGCTCTATCCCCACCAGGAATTGATATACTACCTAATCTGCCCCAAAGATAATGTCAGTTCTATGATAAATATTTGGGTCAATAAATGGTTGGGTACTAGACCATGGGTCCCCATCTAGCTTGAATGCAAGTCCCAAATACTCCAGCTGATACAAGATTTGACAGTATGCTTAGCTCATTCTGTTTCAGATAAGGTAATAGGACTGAAAAATTAAGGAGTTCAAGCCTGAACTGACACATCTTTTCAGGTCTTTCATAAGACTAACTATATTAGTTTTTGAGGGAGGTGGTTTGGCTGGGGTGGGGGGGCAGTGGTGGGGGGTAAATGCAGATAACTAATTGAACAACAATAAAATAATTTTTAAAAACTAAGTATATTAGTTTTTGGAAATTAATAATAATAATAATATCTTTGGGAAAGGGCTTCAGGCACTGCAATCCTCATCACACAGTGAACACACCAGCTCAGCAGCTATTTTGTACAATTCTCAGTGATTGGAACCGTGTAAGACTGCTTGACATGTACACCATGCCCCACATTCCTGCAGGGGTTCCTTTTCCTCTCGGTCTCACAAAGCATTCTTCAATTTTAGGACGCATTTAGGACTTGCATCAATACAGACGTCATTTGACAATAATTTAATATTTTTTTTCTGGTGACAGTTTCTAGTTTAGTAAAAAAAATATTTTAAAAATATTTTGAAATAAGTTTGGGTCGTCGGGTTTCTTTTAGTCAGAGAACTTGCTAGGAAACCTTGATTGTAAAAGTGCTGGTGCCCAGACGTGCAGCAGGGCTGGTTGGGAGCAACACGTCATCGTGGGAAACGTGTACTTCGGGTTACTGCTTGGTGGGTTGGAAACCCCCAGATCAGTCCTACGTTAGCTCTGATTAACTACCTGGGTGTTTCTGGGTCAACTTGGGGTGTTTGCTGGACTCATACCAATACCGGTGGTGAGATTTCACTCAACAAAACGCTGATTAAATTTTCACTTAAATACAACCCAGGGAAATACTCAAGCCACCAGGAATGATCTAGAATATTAAATAAATGGTGCCCGCTATCAGGTGAGCCCAACCTTCCGCCACCACGATTCTGCCTGCCCACATGCTTCTGTCTATCAGTCTCGGCCTCCGGGTCACCTCTCACCCCGGCGTTGGCTGGATTCAGGAAGAGAGAAACCTGTTTTAAAGGGCTCAGTTTCCACCTGCCAGGCATCGTCCGCGTGGTCCAACTTGCTTTTGGCACATATTTGGGAAAAGCTTCGGTTGTTCTCCTATTACACTGATTGGTCAAAGGAAAGGGAGTTCCCGAAGATGTCTCCTTAGTCACCTTGACAATTTCCAAAAGCGAAACTTGCGCTCTAGATTAGATCAACAGAGTCTACGGGGCGCGGAGTCCCTGCCCAGGTCAGCAGCGCCCATCCGGCTGGGGGGCGGGGACTGGGGCGGACCCTGTATCAGGCGTGGTCTGCCGTGGGAGAGAAGGGAAAGCTTTGCTCCACCTTCTAAAAAAAAAAAAAAAACCCTGCTTCCCCCTAGCCAATCGAGGCGGCTTATGCAAATAGGACCCACGTCGCCCGGGTAACCATACTGCACGGCAGCCAATGGAAACCATCAAGTCGTGATCGTGCTCTACGATTGGGACTGGAGTAAGGAGATAGAGGCCCAATGGGCTGTGGGAACGGTCCTCAGCGGGTTGAGGGGCGGGGACATGCAAATATGGTTTGAAAAGCCGGCGGGAAATCTGAGTTTCGCGGGAGGACCTTGGCGCGTAAACCGTATCCCTTCATTCATTGTCAGCAGCAGCTTCCTGGAGCCATTTTTCAGCTGCCGGCCGCAGCACCCGGGCTGCCGCCACCGCCTCGCAATCCGTTGCATCGGCCGCCCCTGACGCTTCCATCCCCCCTCGGGGCCCGATATCCGTGCGGCCGGGACCCTCCTCTCTCCAGAGCCCCGATTATTTTTGGCCCCCGGGGCTGGTGCGGTGCCGAAAAATAAAAAGAAAAGAGAGAGAAGGGGCTCGGAAGCGCCGGGCGGGGAGGAGAGAAGGAGAGACTTGGAAACTCCGACTGCAAATAATAAAGAAATTGAAAAAATACATTAATATAACGTAGCAATAAAAACCGCAGGAGCGAGAGATGAGAAGGGGGATCCAGCCCGCCCTGGAGCAGTACCTGGTGACCGCCGGGGGTGGGGAGGGGGCGGCTATCGTCGCCGCCGCTGCTGCAGCCTCCATGGACAAAAGGGCACTGCTAGCCAGCCCCGGCTTCCCCGCCGCCACCACCGCCGCTGCCTCCGCCGCCGCCCCGGGCGCGTACATCCAGATCCTCACCACGAACACTTCCACCACCTCCTGTTCCTCCTCCCTCCAAAGCGGCGCCGTCGCCGCGGGCCCCATCCTCCCCAGTGCCCCCGGCGCGGAGCAGACCGCCGGCAGCCTCCTCTACACCACGCCGCACGGACCCTCCAGCAGAACCGGGCTGCTGCAGCAGGCACCAGCGCTAGGACGTGGCGGCAGCGGCGGTGGCGGCCCTCCGGTAATGCCCTTCTGTTCCCACCGTCTCCAGCCCGGGGGGGGGGCGGGGTGGGCGCGCTGCGGGCTGTCCCGGGAGAGCGCAGGCCGAGCGCAGTGGGCCTCTGGGCTGCCCCTCCAACGAGGGTTTATTGTTAGACCTGTGCGCTCCCCTCAGCGCCGGTGGGGTCGGGAGGCTCCGCAAGGAGCGTGGGGCAATAGGGATCTCTTTGGCGTGAGCCACATCAGAAACTCTGAAACTTTCTGTGACCCCCACTTCTTTTCCTACACTTTTCCCTACCCCCACTGTCCCCTCCCCTCCAACTCGAAGCTTCCTCTTTCTCGGGCGTAGGATGGGGTCACGCCCCGGATGGAGAAGGGGGTGGAGGAGGGAGTAGTGAACTGGGGAGTGGGGGACTCTGGGGGGTGGAAACCGGGGGACAATTGGGCTGGTCGCCGGCCTCGGAGGCACGTTGGCAGCACGGGGTCCCTATGGCGTGCTGGGAGCGCAGAGGTTCTGCCGGGCTGCGCTTGTCACATTTTGGGATCTGTAACTCCGGGCAACAAAAGGGCTGGGGACAACGGAGGGGGATATGCTGGGGGAAGCGGTGGAGCTGGCAGGCGGGTGCAGGCTGGGGCGTGGGGTGTCCTGGGGTGAGGGGCTAGCGAGAGGGCGCTCCGGCCTGGGCGCATCCTGGCGGTGGCGGCGGCGGCGCCCGCGTGGCCCGAGCGCCCGGGCCTTCCTTGCCGGGCCCCGGGCCTGCCCTTGACCCGCCTCTCCCCTTACCCCTTCCTTCCCCGCCCTGTCCCCCTCCCCGCCCCCAGGCGACGGAGGGCGGGTGCAGCCGCGTTCCCGTCCCGCAGCCCCGGTCTGTCCCTCTCCCCGGGACCCGCCGGTGACGTTTCGCACACGTGCGCGGAGGACGCGCCTGTGACTGGGGAGGAGGCATCGGCGGGAGGGGGCGCTGGAGGGGAGAGGGGGCACCCACTTCCTCCTGCTCGCCGGCTCCCTGGCTTGGGACGGTCCCGGCGCCCTCGCACCCGCACGGCCACCCTCCCTCTCCGCTTTCTACCCCCCCCGCTCCGGACGCCCGCTTTCTGCCGGCGCCGCTGGTCTGCTTGGCCCTCCGGGCCCCTCTCCAGCCGGCCCCCCACCTCCCCCGGAGCCAGGCTGGTTTCGGAAATGCCCTTACAGCAGCAGGTTAGTGACCGGGACCGCGCGGGGGGCTGCCGCCGCCACGGGGGCACCGGATTCTGTTGGGGGCTGGAACCGAGAGGGTAGGCGGTTGAGCGGGATTTTGGAGTGGGAACGGGGGGTTGGGTGCTTGAGGGAAATGAGTAAGCAAGAAAAATCTAACTAAGTAAATGCCCGGCCTCGGGTTCTGGGGACCTCTGAGCTCGAGTGTCCGCCCCAGGGGGTTGGTTTGCTGTTTACGTGTATTTTTTTCTTAGGGGGCCTGTGGATGGGCAATTGAAAACCGGAGGGGGCTTCTCGCCAATGGCCGAGTTGTGCTCTGTTTTCTGTCTTCCTTCCCTTGTGCTGGAGGGGGAGGGGGCGGGTCAGAGGGTTGGGTGTCCGTAGGATTCCCAGGCCACCCGCCACCCCCTCCCTTTGTCCCTGTAATTTATAAAGCGCCTTTGAGAGATGATTTAGGTCAGTATGCGGCTTCTCTTTTTGTTGGTACTAGAATTGTGGCCCGGCGGTCCGTCTCCCCCCCTTCTCCTTTTCTCTCCTTCATTCCCTTCCTCCATGCCTCCTGTCTTCACCCTCGTGGTCAGGCTTGGCCACCACGAGGCTAGAAATGAACCAGACTCAGTTAGATAAATGGTTCGTTGACAACACCAGTCGTTGACCTCACCTTGTCTCAGCTCCAAATGGGTTTATTTTTTGGAGGGTCCAAGATTTGGAGGGGTGTTTAAGAAAGTCAGTGCATGAGCATTACTTTGAGAACGAGATGGATTTTGGAATAAAGAAAAATTTTATTGCCTTACTCTTCCCAATTTCTTCCCTTGTGGGATCTTAAATGCTTTACAGCCCCAGAGATACTTGCTAGGGATGTGGGATACATTCTCAAAGAAGGTGATTGGTTTTCTGGTTTTTGGTTTTTTTAGTGACTAGGGCCTGCCAGCAGGGGGGAAACAGTACAAGTACCCGTTTAACACATGTAGTATGTGTCTTCTGGGTTCTCAGTCACAAGAATATTCCATGCTTGCATTAATATTAAATACTATTACTGACTTGACCTAAACATGCTTGGACATATTTTAAGCATATTTTCCTTCTACACAGTTCTGTTACTATATCTTAAGCCTAATCTTAAACAACCAGCTATTGACATACTTCTTGGATTGGATTCAGATTTATGGAGGGGAGTTTTGATAATAGGAATTTGTAAGACCACCAAAGTGATTTTTTTTTTTTTTAATCTTAGCCTGCTTGTTGGGCCAGGTCTGAAAAACTGTCTAGTCAAACTTATATGTAGTTCATTGTATTTAAGTTTTTAAAGTATAAAAAACGACCCTCACCACCTTCCAAGTTATTTAAAAACTTGGTCCTCCTTGCCATGAGAATATATATAATTCCAAAGTCACGAGTCCTGAGTATAAAGTTTAATTTGCTTTGTTCTCGTCAAAACTACATTAGACTTCTATTTAATACTTGAAATTAATTGATAATTCTTTCCCTGAGCAGGACAGACATCTTGGAGATAGATGAGTGACTGGCGGAGCCAAGAGACTGTTTAAATACTTTCTGTCCACGCAGTGGTTGAAAATTTGTGTTCAGGGGCCAGAATTGCAGACCCACTTTATTCCATGTTCTGTCTCAAGAACATCTGAGAACTTAACCAGGAACAACTTCTTTACCTTTTTTTGTAACAAGAAGAAATATGTGTGAGTGCTCTCTTTCTAGCTGATTGTCTCTCATTTACAAGTTGTATGATCTTAGGCCAGTAAGTCTCTCAAAACAATTTCCTCTTCTGTTAAATCAGAACAGTAACAATACTAACTTGAAGGGTTTTTTTGTTTGTTTGTTTTTAAGGTTTAAATATGATAATGCACATGAAACACTTAGCACAATGCCTGACAAATAGTAGATGCTCAATAGCATAAGGATGCAGAAATACTACTTTTTTAACTTAGAGAAAGTACAAGACCACGTGTACAACTGCCCCTTGTTTACATATATGCACAAAATGGTTAAAAGTTTTCTAGAGTGAAATGTAATTACTTATACCTAATTAATATGGGCTTTTAAATCTGTAAGACATAGCTGTCCTAGCACTGGGTAAAATAGGGGCCTTTCAGTGTGACGGGCCTGCATCGAGATGGCCGAGTTGAGCTGCCCTAGCCTGAGCTTGTGCTTATTTTGTGACAAAGAGCAACTCATCCTCACTTTTTTGCCTAAGTTTCCCTCCACCCCATGACCCATGGACCTATCAACTTTTGAGTGCATTTGCACTTAGTGGCTTTTAGAGAACTGAAGTCCTAGTTGTCACCAAGTGAGAGACTTGCAGTAAACTCAGTTTTAGCTCTTGAACTGTTGGAAATGGAGGAGCTCTAGAGAAACCAGCCAGAAGTGCTATTTTCTGGAACAGAAAAGTCTTTGTCATCTTCTGCCTTTTCTAAAAAGAAGCTGAAATTATTTCATTCTACTTCTAGAGAACTTGGGCCCTATTAATACAAGAGACAATGGCCTGTTACATCTGATTTAATGTAATCTAGTCATAGCAACCCACTGGTTGTACCTTGGGAGAGAGCCTGTGTAAGCTTGAAATTTCCGTGTAAGAATGCAGGAACCATAGGTGCTATGGTCGGGTCTCTTTTCCTGTGCAAGTACAAAAGAAGAAAAATGCTGGGTCTTTGTGGTTCAGTACTCAATAATCTTGCTTCTGCTGAGATACATGGTTGATGCTAAGTTTAAGCCAGGAGAGAATTTTTAGTCACTACACACCCCAAAATGGAAGTTTTAATGTAATGCAGCCCAGACTTGGGCAGTACAAATAGCTCAGTGCCATAGTCAGTATCAAGGGCACCACTTTAGTCATCCTCTGAAGCAAAGCACCCTTAAATGTGGCACCGTGAGCTAAAGAACCCAAGCTTGCGAACAGGAAAGGATTTTTTTTGTTGTTTTTCTATAAATCATCACCTTGTATAATACTTGGAAACATAGATTCTGAGATTAATGTGCTGTGTTAACTTGAAACAGAAAATAATACTCTAAGCTTAGACATGACTAACAGCACCTGGAGATGGAAAGGCTGGGGACAAGTTGTTTTATTGTCTTTTCTCAGAGATACAATGCAGTAGTTTTCTTCTAACTCCTCAGTCTTTATTGCCATCCCCATAGATAAACCATCTATACCTTTACCCCCGTTCAGAGGACTTGGACCCATTTGGCAAAGTTTCAGGTGTTCAGTTAATTTTCTGACTGGTTTTCTAATTTGATATGATTTCTGTATATTCCATTTGCATGCCTAGTTCACATCCACTTTCTAGGCTAAACCAATTCCCATTCCTTTTAACCACCCACTTTCTACTGACATCTTAAATTAGGATACGTGAGTATGAATCGTCTGTGCTCATTGAATTAAGTCCCTCATAGATTCCCATGAAACCACCCCAGGCAAAGAAGGTAGGTTTCAGTTCCTACCAGATTACCTGTTTCATTTTAGTTTTTAAAGAGAACTTCCCTGACTTCTTTGAGGTACTAAGCATGTGGTTTAATGCATGTTTTCATGCTTGTTAGCAGCTTAAAATAGTGTTTCTGGGACTATATTTACAATTATTAAGAAGCATTCTTCCCCTTCTAATCCATATTTTCATAGAAGTAAGAAGGTAAGATAACTGGGAAAGTTGTAAATATAGGAAACCACAAATGGTATCTCCTTCCTCCTACTCTGATCTTTTGGCTTCAAAGCGTGACTTGGAAAATGTATCTTAACAAAGAAAAGTTACACAGCAGACGGTACAAAAAAGCAACAGTTGAGATGGGGACAAGAAACTTGGAAGGGCACGGGTAGGGGT